TAATAATAAAAATGAAGCGAATAATAATAAAATAATAAAAATGAAGCAAAGTTGCCATTGGGACGAGAAAAAAAACTATTAATTTATTTTTAAATTTATTTTTAAACGTTACCTTCTCTTGTGAGTTTATTGCGATTATTTTTCTGAAGGCATCATGTGTATTTCCTTTCCCTCATTTGCTTTCCTCATTTATTTCCCTCATTTACTCTCCTCATTTACTTTTCCTTGCAGTGAGAAAGGGAAAAAATCTCATTATAACGGCGCCACACCGGCGAAACCGGGAAAATCCGGCCGCCTCGCGCGGATTTCGCTCTCGTTTGGGGTGCAAGTGGGTCGACGACGGAACCGGTCGGCAGGCGACGAGACCGGTCGGCAGGCGACGAGACCGGTCGGCAGGCGATGAGACCGGTCGGCAGGCGAAGAAGCCCATCGATGCGCGGTTGGCACACGGATAGCAAAAATTGCTAACATATTGAAAATATTGGAAACATATGGTGAATATTCCAAACTTATTGTAAACATTGAATATATTTATATTTTTTATTTTTTAAAATTATTATTATTATTTTATTATTTTTATTTTTTAATTGTGCGACGCTCTTGCATTCTCATATCGCGGCGATACTGCGTTGATTTCATAAAATGTTCGCAGTGGCAAAGACGTTACTTCCCGTTATGTAACGCCACTGGAAAAAACCTCTGGGTTTTTTCATTCAACTTGTTTGTTTTTTTTTCCTTTTTCCCACTAAGGCCCACTCGCCAACTTGTGCAACTTTCCGGATTTATCCGCAATTTCGATGGATTGGCGAAACGCTTTCGTCGCGATGGGAATATTGGCAAAGATAAAAAAAAATTGGCAAAAGTCTAAATTAGGGGGAGTTTTTCTCACTTGACAGCGAATTGCTTGCGTGCCTGGAACACGCTTGGAACGCGCTTAGAACATGCTTAGAACGTGCTTAGAACGTGCTTAGAATAAGCGTCCGTCACTATCCGCCACATTCGCGAGATGAGATTAGGTTTATCGCCTGTAAATCGTGCGAATTCCGATAAATTACAAAATTTGCGGCGCGAGAAGAAATTGTGACGAATGAGAATCGCCATTTTCCGACAAAGTTTTCCAGAAACGACGGAAACTTCAGCAGATCCAGCAGATGTAGCGTTTTTCGGGTTTTAATCGGTGAAAAATAAACTTCAACAAGAACCTGACCTAAATTATTTACATATTTTATCATACACATGTATGTGATACATATTTACATATATTTCTATTCCTACTAACTCACGCGGACAATCCTCATGATCCGGAACGAGGAGGAGCGCGGAGGAGCGCGGAGGAGCGCGGAGGAGCGCGGAGGAGCGCGGAGGAGCGCGGAGGAGCGCGGAGGAGCGCGGAGGAGCGCGGAGGAGCGAAGTGCTTCACATCAGCGAAAACGGAACTGAGACGGAGGAATCCTTTTCGGACCGGATCCCACAAGGGAAGGGAGAGACCGGTTTTTCCTTTCCGTTTCTTAAACCCCCTTTAATCAATTAATTTCTTGAATAAATTGATCGCGTTCTTCACCCACTGTCTCCCTTTCCATTTCTCTCCTTTTCATGTGTTAATGAAAATTTACATCCGGGAATGATGATTTAAATGGCAGGTGAAATTTGGAACGGCAATATTTATTTAATTATTTTAATACTTCTCACGCGGCGCCTAATCCCAATTAGAGACGCGGCTAATTAATCATATATTTTTTAAACCCTTTTTTCGTCCCCGTTCCTTTCGCCCGTAATTTTCACCTTTCACCCGTAATTTTCACCTTTCACTCGTAATTTTCACCTTTCACCTGATTTCCCTAATTTGATTTCCCTAAGTATGCAAATATTACTTACTACGGAAGTTCAGAATCTCTTTTCCCAAAAGACACGAATGAAAGAGAACATTACATTGAAAAATGAAAGAATTCGTCATGGTCATGATATATTATTTATACCAATCTCATGATACTAAAAAAAAAAAGTGATGCAAATTTGGGGAGACTGAATCGGACAACTGGAACAGGCGCGAGCACGGGCTTTCCATGCATGCTGATATTAAACATTTCAAATCGGCTCGGGTGCGAAGAGGAGACGTCGATTGTGAGCATTTGAGCGATAACAAATAATATATAATAATATGATATTAATATGCATGTACAGACTTCTCGTTCCAAAAGACACTTTCAGAACATGTCACGTCCGACAATTTTCTTTGCACAGAGGTAAGAGAGAGTGGAAGACTTTGGATGATGCAATTTTCAGTCACCGCCCAAAGCAAATTGTTGCAGCCTTTGTATGCTGATTCGTCATACATAACATGGTGAAATGCCTTTTGTATACTAGAAATATTATAAAATTAAATTATAAAATTAAATTATAAAACTACATATAAAATATTACTCCGGATGTCACATCCGACACCGTGGACAGACCCAAGACTAATTAAGACCTTTCTAATTGCGGTCAAAGGACGCGATCGGACGCAATCTTTCATTGCCAAATCCTTTTTTGTGCAAAAGAAATGAGAATAAGAGGACGACGGAGAGGGGATTCTCGCATGGAAGGAAGGAATCTTAATATGGTAAGGAATCGTGTGCAAAAAAAAAAAGATTGCAGAAAAATTCGGAAAATTGACTTCCTCGAATCGATCATGGTTGACGTTGATGCAACAATGTCAGGCGATGCAACACGATGACCATCGTGTTGCATCATCTTACATTGTTGCATCCACTGACCGTCGTCGGCGGATGGGGATTACCAATGGCAAGTTCGGAATCTGTTCGACTGGGCGCCTGCTCCGAGAATTTATTTCAGGGTTGATTGGGTTGAAACCGGATCTCAGGGTTTTCCGATCATCCGTATTTCAGGGTTGAAGCACGGATGTTGCCACCAATGTTGAGAACATTGGTGGCAGATGTCGGTTTCTGACATCCCGAATCGATTTCCTGGGAAATGAGTTCGTCGTCATTAAAACCGGTCGGAATCGGATGGATGCTTCTGGAACGTTACGTTTCTCGATTACCCAAAACGAAACGTTCCTAGAAAGCGCGTTGAACGTTCGGGTGCTATTTGGTTGGTAGTCTGCGATAGGCAATGAGCTAATTGCACTTCCTACTCTCTCGGAAGGATAATGAAAAATAGGGAAAAACTGGATGTGGACATTCCAGCCGAATTCTGGGATCCTCCTCCCCCTTCCTTTTCCCCCCGGCATCCTTCCAGCCGTCCGAACGACCAAAGCGGACTGACGAGGCCTCAGAGCGTTTAAATTCCCATCCGCGTTTTTCTGGATTCGCGGCATTCGCTCTCTTTCTGGAGGCTTTTTGGAGCCTGCTCACGCCCCGCTGAAGAACTCTCTCGGCATCGCCGTGTGGGCCGACAGTGTTCTTCAGCAGTACCGAAACTTCGTTGGTGGTTTTTTTTTCCGACCATCAATCGTGTGCAAGAGTTCCAGCGCTCACAAGCTCCGAACGTGGGCCTGTAGGTCATGTTCGACTTCAAGGGCCAACGAATACGAATTTCAGGAGGCCAAGAAAGCCGTTGTGCACGTCTGGTTTCATCTGAAATGTGCGTTTAAAATTGGACGACAGCCACAGGACACAATACCGTAGTACTTTTCCTCAAGTTGTTGTCCTTTGTTGTCCTTTAAAGTCGCGAAGGAATATGCCACATGCGATTTCGCGAATGCGATGCGATTCTTCGCTGCTTCTGAGGTTTTTTCAGAATTTTATTTTCAAGCGCTGAATTTCACATGAGAACCAGAAGATCTTCGAAGGAATGAATGAACTCAATTCCTTTTTTTTTTCCCCGGGATGTTAAATTTGATCGAGGACTCCAGTTCCTCACCTTCGGAGAGCAAAAACGAGGCGACTCCAGTCTCGCTCGCGGAAAATCGCTCGGTGAACATTTTCGACTTTTGTCGGTCGGGGGGCGACGGACGGCCCGTCGGCCCCATCTCCGGGCCGCCGCAGTGATGCCAGATGGCGATCGATCAGCTCGATGGCATTCTCGTCGATTTCTTCCGATTTCGACAGGAATGTCGTAATCGCAGTTGCCACGACATCATTTCTCATCTCGTGTTTTCAGGAACCGTTACTAACGAATAAATTAAGATAGATCTTGGAATGGAAAAATTGGAATTTGAAATTTCCAACACCTACATGAAGTTAATGATATTCTGAAACTATTAATATTTGGCCATTTACTTCAAATGCAATAACTGATGCTCCCGTCTTTCACCGAGTTGCCCGTTCGTCCTCTCAGAGTAACGGAAAGCGGAAAAGAGCGGAAAGCAAATGAGCGGCATCGCCTCGAAGCCCCTGAAAGCGCTGACCACGCCTCGAAGCCGCCGAAAGCGCTGACCGTTGGGACTCCGTCGTGGCTGATTTGAAGAATCGCTTCGGCGCTTCCGTCCTGAATCCGCTCGTCTCGCGACCGCCAACATTGGCGAATCAATATTTTCCCTCCAGACTGGGTGACATTTCCACCATCCAAAACTTATATTTATGAAAGTAACTGGGAGACATGGAGAGGGACAAAAAAAAGGAGGGGAAGAAAAGGAACGAGAGAAAGCATTTCGCCCGGAAGATCATACGGAAAACAAGTATGAATATATTTCAAACACAGGTACACACTGAAATTAAATTCTTTCATGAACTTCCAGAGGTCCAAAAATACAGAATTACGCCTCAAAAATTTTTTTTTTTGAGCGAAAAGTACGATAAGCCTAAAGTTTGAACTTTTAGCCTCGGAGGATCCAAGTAATTTTATTTCCCATTCGCATGCAAATCACGTCGAATTTTTTTTTTATCTCCATCATCGAGAAAGCATAGGGAAGATACGGACTACGAAGGGCCTGCGCGCACGCACACACGCACACGCACTCACGGTGGACCGGTCGTCCCTTTTTGTTCATTCGGGGGAAAAAAAAAATACCGGGCCGGCGATGGATGGAGATCACTGGCGACCTCGCTGCGACCTCCTCACTGGCGGGCGACGAGGAGGCAGAGGAGGAGGAGGAGGGCGGACAGGCCGAAGGTGGCCGCGCCGCAGCGCATCCCGTGGTGCCGGATGGTGAATGGGACCTCGTCCAGGTAGTGGCATTTTTCGTCTGTGAAAAAAATCCTCGAATTAAATTTGGATTAAATTAAATTAAATTTTTTTTTTAAATTGCGAGTTTTAGGAATCCTAGAATTTTTCTCCCATTTTAATTCATTCCTTTGCCGAATTTCGATGCATGAAAAACGCACGAAGCCTTAAAAAAGCAATTCATGGGAATTGGATTCCCCGAAAGCCGACTCGAGGTTTCGTTTCCCCCCGCAACTGCGTCATTCTCATTCGCGGTGGATGCCGACACGCGAAACACCGACATCAATCTAGAGCAGGGGTTCCTAACCTTTTTGCACCTACGGACCCTCCAGGTCCTCAGGTATCACCCATGGACCCCCCACCCCCGCTTATCCGAAAATTTCGGAACACCTGGATTTGTGATTATAAATTATGTTTTTCGGGAGCTACCTTCAATTATATATATACTTTACCAAGGACCCTCCACGGACCTCCTGGGGTCCAAGGACCCCAGATCAAGAACCCCTGCTCCAGAGCCATGACAAGCACACGCCGCGAGACACGGAGCCATCCTACCCGTGCATGTCGGATTCTTGCTGGGAACGTAGTCGCCCGTGACCTTGACCGAGAGGAAGATGGGGTCGCAGTTGTTGTCGTCGCCGCAGGGGTCGTTGAGGTCGATGACGACCTCCCGCCCCTGGAACTCGGCCGTGGTCTTGCACTCGTCCGACCTCGGCTGCAGCTGGTCCGAGTTGCGCTGGTAGCGACCCCAGCAGACTTCGAGGTTCACGCTCGAGTCGTCCGACTTCACCTGGTTCCGATCAGAGCGCCTTCATCATTTTTTTTTGCCCTTTTTCATTATTTAATAATTGTATTTATTTATTTCATTTATTTATTTCATTTACTTTTTCATTTATTTATTTCATTTACTTTTTTCATGTACGTATTTTATTTAATTATTTTATTTATTCTTGTTTGATGTTTATTTGTTGCGTTTGCGAAAACTTCGAGATCAAGAAAGAAGCTCTCTTGCATGAAGCAAAATTTTCGCAGTTTTGCCTCCGCTTCGAACAACTCGCATTTCAGCAATTTTGCCGCGACGCCGGAGACGTCACACGCGCTTACCGACGCGGGCGAACTCGCGAAGATCCTTGCCCTTGCTCTCCGACGATTGCCCAATCGAGGAACATTAATTTTGCAATAATTTTTTTTTTTTTCCTTCGAGCATGCGAATGCAGACTCAATAAAAACTCAATAAAATGATAGAAAGTCGAAACGGCTTGCGCCGCACGGAGCCGAGGAAGACGGAAAAAGCACCTTCAAAATGAGGTCCCCGCTGCGGTCGAACCAGTAGTCGTCGTACATCATGTACTTCGTGGTCTTTGGGACGAGGCGGCCCTCGTATTTGTTGTTGTTCTCGTCACTGCTCTCTTGGAGGCACTTGGGATGGAGCAGTCGAGACGGAGCTGAACGGAAAAAAATACTCAAAATTTTTTGTATTTTTGCAATTTTTTGCAACCTTGCAAAATGTTGCAATTTTACACATTTTTTGCAATTTTGCAAAATTTTGCAATTTTAAATTTTTTGCAATTTTACAATTTTTTTGCTGAAAGCGGGGAGGCTCACTTATGCTGATGACGTCCCTGTAGAGCGTCTCCCCCGCCCCGTTCGAGAGCCGGACGACGCGGTACGTCGGCTTCTTCACGAACCGGTCCCACTCGGACGCCTTCGTCGCGAAGATCACGCGGACGTCTAAGGGCGAGAGCGGCGACATCCCGCCGCGACGCAAAAATTTGACGAGTCGCACAAAACGTTTCGTTTGATATTTCAAAATAAGGCTCCCTCGAAAAATTATGCTCTGGGGGGAATGAATCTCAAAGTAACAAGAAAAATTAATTGAAATCTGAATTTGGGGAAATACTGGAGTACTCCGTTTTGTCTTTCCCTTAATGTATTTTTCTCCGGGCAAAAATTTGCGAGAAGTTCTTGTGAACTGCCAAAGATACGCCCCGAGGGCGTACGCCTCAATAAGTGAGATTCTTCTTCAGTTCATTTCTCCCAGTACTCTTCTACCAGTGCACCCAGTACTACCTCTCTACCGATATCATTTCTCTCCATCTTCCCATTACGTCGGAGCGAAAATCTATCAGGAAAATCGAAACAAATATGTGCCCTGCGGGGACACACCTCAAAATAGTATTCCACTGTGTTGCACTATGTATTGCACTATATATTGCACTATATATTGCACTACGTATCGAGGGAAAATACCCGGCAAGTCATTGGCGAAGTCCTGCACCCGCCGCTCGAGCTCCTCCGCGGTGAGGAACCTGGACTCGGGCCTGTTGCTCGGCACGACAAAGAGGACGACCTTGGTGTTCGTCCCGGCGATGTTCTTGTCCCGCTCGTATTTCCGTTCCTGGTTGAACTGTCGGCGGAGCTGGTTCATGGCCTCCCCGAGGTCGAAATCGCTGCTGAAGAATCCTGTCGGAGAAGTGGGGAGGGTTCAGAAACACGGTCGATGGTTCTCGGTGATCGTCCTATATTTGCATATTATGAATTTTACTCATATTTTACCAATATTTACCCATTATTATACTTTACCTATTTTACCCATATTTTACCAATACGTAGTGTACACTGTACAACGTTCTTCGCTCTGCACAGAATGCGTTTCAAGGCGCAGCGAAATTGCAAGTTAAAAGACTTTTTAGGAAATTTAAAGAGCCTCCCTTTCAATACCCAGGCGAATAAAAAAAAAGCTGAAAATGGAGGGTCTTGGACCCGGAAACCCACTGAAGTCGGTCTTGAGGAGCTTGAAGGCGAAGCTGCCCTGGTTGAACTCCTGTCCCATGTCCACGAGGGCGGTCCAGTTGCCCTGGGTGTTGCTGGAGAAGTTGAGGGCGACCCTGCACGTCCCCGCGGGGTCCAGGTCGAGCCGGTTCACCAGGTCGCTGCGATCCGGGAATCATTTTCAATTGCTTTTCCGATCTTATCCTAGACTCGCTGGTGTCTTCTAAGAGGTCCTTATTTTATCATTATAAATAAAAAATCCCGAATCAGTAGGCATTTAACCAATATTTGAGGCGGTACGCGACTCATTTCCTGGAAAAGTTGCCAGGTGGATGAACGACTGCTGAAGAGAGTTGAGTCTTCCTTTAGGATGAAGTTCCGAGTCTCACTTAATTAAAAATTCGAAATACTGGCATTTCATCGAACAGGAACGAAATGCTTCTCGCGTATATTCATCTCACGACTTTTCAAGGAATTCCAGAGCTTACACGACGACTTCCTTGGCCTCCTGGACGTCGTATTCGTTGCCCTCCAAGTCGAAAATCACGTATAGGTCCACGTTGGGAGCAGGTAGGTGTTGGTCCAAGTTCTTGCACGTGTATCCGCCACCTCCTGTTAAGAAAAAAATGTTTTTCCTATTGAGGTTGATGTAGGGGGTGGGGGGCAGGGGGGGGGGGAATGCACGCACCGAGAATGCTCTGGTACTGCTGAAGAACACTCTGGACTTGCGAGTCGATGCTGCTTGTGAAAGGACCCGGAAAGGGAGAGTGGGTTCCATATTCGTCCAGGGTGAGAGCGTAGGCCATGGCTCGAACCTAAGGAGGGTGGAGGACGGTTCATCACGATTGGCTCTGATGGCCTCTGGATCCAACTACGGGGTCCGGCCATTTCACACTTTTGCCCGGATTTGGGCGAAATCCAACATTAGCAGTTGAACTTCTCTATTTGCTAGGGCAACTTAGGCCTTTCTTACGTTACGTGGAAGGCGTTGGAAGAAAAAGTAATGCTATCTCTGGAAAATTAAACGGTCGTGGACATTGCCGCACGGCTTTCAATAATTTCCAGGTACATTTAACTCCTCCATGCTCCAGACAAATTCTCCGTTATTGCTCTGTTAATAATGTCTCCATATAGAAATGAGCTTGAGCCGTTTCTGACACACAAAGGAAAAACGCCCTGCTGGTAAAGACCCTTACGAGTTCATTCGACGACGGATAGAAGGGATACTTGTTTTTTTTTGTTCCATTTTTCTATGACCATCGCACGAACCACCTTCCCCACATGGACGACCTGAAACTCTACGCCTCCAACGAGAAACAGCTCGATAGCCTACTCAACGTCGTCAGCATCTTCTCGAAATAAATGCATGAAATTCGGACTCGACAAGGACGCAAAACTCTGTCCACCGCGGAGTCCTCACCCTTATTGGAGACATCACCATCAGCAACAACGAACAACTCCGAGAGATCACGGCTCCTGACACCTATAAATATCTCGGTGTGGAAGAGAATTCTTCCGTGGCTGTCAAGCGCACGAAGCAAAGACTGACGACAGGATACAAACGCAGAATCCGACTCGTACTAAAGACCGAGCTGTCCGGCAAAAATAAGATCTCTGCCCTTAACAGCCTTGCCACCCCAGTACTCAGCTACAGCTTCGGAGTTACGGATCGGTCACCTACGGAACTCCAGGCCATCGATCCAGCGACCAGAAAACTCTTGACCATGCATCACACCCATCATCCGAAGACTGCCGTTGAAAGACTCTACCTTCCGAGATGCAAGGGAGGGAAGGGACTCATCGAACTCGAGTCCCTCTACAAGCGGACGACGTGCGTAGGCCGGACCTCACGATCTACAAGGAGAAGAAGACCGCCCTCCTCGTAGATGTGAGCATCCCAGCCGATAACAACCTCCAAGAGAAGACCAGGGAGAAGCCGGAGAAATGCTCCGAACTGAAAGTGGAAGTAGAACAGTTGTGCGGAATGAAGAAGTATAGGCTGGAAGTGAAACCTGTCTTCTGTGAAAAAAGACCTACGAAAATGAGAGTAGAAATTTAAAGCAACAGAAAATGAAGCAGAGAAAGCTATTGTATGAGAAGACGAGGAACCGGTGCATAAGACGCCAGGGACAGTTCTAACTAATAAAAAAGGGAAAGTGACCGAAGCTACCCCTATCTGGGTACTTTTTTTAAGATTGGCAAATAGTGAATCTTGTTAAGACATAAAGTTCTTGTTTCAGAATCCGGCTTGGATATCGATTAATTGTATGTTTAGTATGAAAAATGGAACCGTTAAAGACAAAATCACCTTCTAAATCGCAAAGAAATATACCTCTGCCAAGTTGTGACTCAATCACTTTTCTAGGTCTTTTTCCCCAGGGGACAGATTTCATTTCCAGCCTATACTTCTTGAATGTGGGAGTACGTAGGCTTGGATTGCAGCACATCCATTACCAGTGAGACATATTACTCCATCGGCTTCTCCCTTTGCCGATCTTTCAATATGTGTCTGGAGACGCTGCGAGACCCTTCTGGCGCGAATCTCCGCACTAGGAAAAACATCTTACTTCTCAACGAATGGGATGCTGGTTACCTGAGCATCGCCATCTCCACGATCATAGAGCACAACCCACGTGCTGCTAATGAGTAGCGTAGGTGTGAACCTTTATCAGCTAATGATTTCTGCTATTGCGGTGGATGTGAGAGAGGCTTCAGCTGTGGACGCCCTCATCTGCTCTCTGTTCGGACAGAAACCGTTTTTCTTCATCTTTTCATTCCTAGTGTGGAGCTGTCGAATAGGGTGAAGCTGCACCGCAAGGTGATAGCAGGGTCGCGCCCCTGACGAGACTCCTGCACGGCTTGATGGCACTTCAGGCTAATTTTGGTAACTTTCTTCTTTTTTTTTCGTGTGTTCTTTGCTGTTCTTCAGTTGCCTCGGTCCACTTTGGCTAGGGGTCTGTTGTGGATGGTCATGCTCTGTTCATTCTTTCATACATTTTTCTTTGATGTCCGTGCGAGTCGATTTATCGCTCGCAGCGTCGCGGCTGACTCAGATTGTTTTCCAAGGGAATCGGTTCACCTCACAATTATATATGTGTACATAATACTCATCGTCAAAAAAGGTCACACCAGGATTGAAGTCGACGAAATTGCCTCTGTGGAGTTCGTCCTGGTATGGCTTTAAAGACGAAAAATAAACGATTGCAGCAAATCAGAGTGAATGGAGGGACGCAGGGAAGGAAACTCGCCAAATCGGTGTAGTCGCCCTTTTCCCCATCCCTCGTGGCGTTCGGCTAACTCGGCTCGTTTTCCCTGCATCGCTTCATCTTATGGCATTTAAACTTTGCTTCATTGTACTAAATATCAGTAGAAGTTCCAGTTTCACGTTTCATTAATAAACTCCTTCTAGATCTTCTTTGTGGGCGATAAATACGACCTTTCCAACCCCATTTAAATTGGGATGTTTAGTAAGTTTTCTCTGTGAATTTTAAACACACGACCTTGAAACTAGCATCAATTTCATAACGCACTAATACGAGTAAGATGACCAAATTTCATGACGATCGCTCAACTCCTTCTTGGTTTGACTTTTTTTGGCGATGAGTATATATATTAAAGAATAAATCACTATTTGGAATACTCGAAAGGCATACCTGAAGATCCATATCCGTGCTTGGGACCAAGGACTCGTCCTTGACGAGTTCGAATCGGTTGCAAGCGCCGAAGACGCGGTTCAGTTCACCGGCCAGGCTGACCCCCCGGTCGGAGTAGTACATCTCCAGGATGTGGGAGAGCTTGATGGCGCTGCTCTTCCAATCCATGACCTTTCTGGCCAACAGGAGACCTAGGGAGAGGATATTTTTCGCGAATTTGTTGCAGCTTTGAAGGGCCTCGACGGTTCCGATCTGACCCGTTCGCGGGCAAAAAGGGAAGAAACGCGAAGACGAGGAACGCCCGAGCCGCTTACCGTCGATTCCTCCGTAGACCTCGGCGTTGGTGGCATAAGAGACGCGTTCCCTTTCGTATGTCAGGGGGTACTCCGTCGGGTAGATCATGGAATTGGAGGTCCCCGTCATCGGCTGGTAACCTCCCATCTGCGTGTAGGAGGTCCAGGTGCCCGATGGACCGATCAGACCTTGCGAGCCGGACAGCGAGGATGTCGTCCCGTATACGGCCGACTGCGCCAAGTCACCTGTGGGCGATTTTTAAAGTTAGAGTAGCAAGTGCTGAGACGAGAGGCGCTGCGTCGATTCGTTTCGTCTGGAGGAGACCGTCGGCTCAACCTTTACTTGCGTTTGCTCCTCTGCGTCCTCGAGATCTCTTAGTTGTTACCGTACCTTCAAAAGACGTCTGTGCGGCTTCGTGAAAGGGCCTTTGCTCCGGCGCAGTGAAGAGACGAAGTCACACAGACGCCTTCTTAAGGTCATCCGACAAGGTCAGATGACGGTGAAGTTACCAGTCCAAGAACCGCCCTCGTTGCCGCGTTACATTATCTTCTGAGGCCGACAGTGTAACATCTAAGGAGCAGAATTTTTGCCAACCTGCGACGGTGGCAGCGTAGTAGTTCGTGATGACGGCACTGCTCAGCATGGAATCGCGACCGATGAAGGTGACGACATCAGGCTTGTCGCGGAAGAGATCAGCCAGTCGGATCTGCATGGCGGCGCTGCCGAAGGCAAGACCCATGAGGACCTGCCCCGCGGCCACCGTCCCGTACTCCGAGTAGACCACGCCTTTTTCCAGCGGGTGGAGGCTCTTCTCGTAGTCTAGAATGCCCTGTCGACCTGACGCCTGGCGCTCGCTGCGTTCCAATGCCCTGCGGAAAATTTTCCCTGGCCATTTTTTTTCCTGCTTAAAGATAGGTTTCGTCTATGGGGAATGTTAGCCTAGTAAGACGAATTGTCTGTAGGTGGAAATTATAAATTCATTCAGGCTTTCGAATTCGAGCTTAAGATTTTCGTGCCAACTGCTAATTCGACGTTGGCAAATTTAGTGCCAGACACAGGCATGAAGCATGAATGGATGCTCTCCGAGTCGACCAGAAACAGTTGAAAATTCCTTGGAAAACTCACTCTCGTCTGACTCGCGGCCTGCTGGGGATCTGACCGGCCATGTTGTTGTTGTTGTTGTTGTTGTTGTTGTTGTTGCTCGGGGGGGGATAGTTGAATCCCCCGCCCTCCTCCGATCGCCTCGTGTCGTTCAGACTGTACGACAGCATCCAATGCAGCGAACACTGCGAGAATAAATTCCACATTTTAGGGAGGAAAAGACGGGATGGCATTTGCGTCATCCAGCCTTTCGAGTTGGATTCTGTCAATATTCGCAGCACGCGAACGGCGTACAGACTCAGTAATCGAAATGAATTCCTTTAAGGTTCTTTGGTGATTCGGGTGATCTTCACGCAACGGATGGAGAAAATTTTTACGCAAATAACGGCAGCAATGCTAATAAGCACCCGAAGAGTCGAAACCGTTCTTCAGACTTAGGGCCATTGATGTCGCTCAGAAATACGCTAAGGCATGCGCTTAAGAATCCGCTCGAGGATCTCCAGACCTTTTCTTCGACGGTGAGCGAGTCTTCGGGGAAGTCCTCGGCTCTCCCGATGTTGGTGATCTTCCAGAGAAGTTCCTGCTTCCTCTTCTCCATTGCGTCCATCTGCACCGAAAAGTTGCTCGGTAAGAAAAAATCCGCGAGTTGTTCGTTTTTTAATCGATTAAATTTGGGGGGAAGGGTATCCGGGGAAGCACTCAAATATCAAGCAAAAAAATATTGAGTAAAACTTGATGACGGATGATGGATTGGGAAATTCTGAAATGCTTGAGCGGGATGAGAGAATGAAATTATACTCACCTGAAGTCTTCCTCCTATGCTTAGGGGCAAGAACTGCATCCCGTCAATTTTAAACCTGAAATGAAATACATTGCTTGCATTGAATCGCTAAAAATATGTTTTTCCTTCTCGATTGATATTTTTCTTGCTCGTGTTCTTCACGCGGGTTTATTCTTTGATAGCGCGTGCATGGCTGAAAAATGTGATCCATGTGAAAGACCTTTTGAGCAGGTTGGCTGCCATAGTCTGCACGTCCCAATTGTAGGCCGTCGGATGCTGTTCCACCTTCTTGATGAGGCCGATGAGGTTGTCCATGGTCATCGGCAACCGCCGGAATCTGTCCCGGACGGTCCAGTTGTGGTAGCATTCGTTCGTCAGGTCCTCCTTCGACCGCGTGGACTGGGCCTGCACGTAACTCAGGCACAGGAGTGCTGAAACGCAATCCGATCGCGTTTGATGCAGGGTGGATCCCGTTTAGGAAAAAAAGGGGAAGTTGGGAAAAGGAAGAAGCACCCTTCTCAGATATATTTCTTTACTGCAATATTAACGTCGTGGTACATTGTCAGGGTAAGGGAGAAATCTAATTCTTCTTGAAGAGTTCCGTGCTTTTCGGAGCCGAATGTGGAGTCTACGTGCTTGTGAGGCTTTCTGTCAGCCTTTTCGACGCGATCATTTTCCAATAATTTATAAATTGCTTGGATTAGTGGAAATTGCAACCGAAACGAGAATAAAAATGCTGACTTGAGCTCAATCTCTACGCGCTAGGGGCTGACCTACACTTAAACTTTTGAAATATTTTAATATTAAATTCTATAGCAAGAACGTAATCATCCGACGAAAACGTATAAGGGGAGGAAAATATGTATGTGTGAATAAAAATGAAAGTAAATAACTCACCGAGGAAGACAGCACACGGTAAAATCACAAAAGCACGGAGCTGCATCGCGTCGAGAGACACTTGACACAGATCCTAGGGAAAGAAATCACAGAAAAGTGGAGATCGCGGGGTCCAGAGTAAATTTGTACGAAATCGCGTCTGGATGACTGATGGGGGCGGCGCTGGGGGACGGGGCACAATTTGTAACCGACGCAGAAAGCGGGGCCGATAAGGGGGGACTTATGATAAGCGGCCGTGACTAACACACCTGCTCTCGTCATGGCTCGAATATTCCATGACAACATGCATTTCCGGGAAACTCATCGACGAGGTTTGTGGGTTTTCTGATTGCCGCGATCGGAAGTTGCGAATGGAATTTCTCGTGTCTTTATCAGACATCTTGGAGAAAAAAAAACAAGCTTGTGAAGGTCTCAGCTGGAAATTTTCGCTGAAAATGTTCTTTTCTTTTTTTCTTCCTGCTAGAGTGAACCAAACATATTCATGAGTTTAGTTCACGCAATAGAGACTTGAGGAAATAATTAACACGTGAAAAATATGCATGCTTGTAACTCTTCGATTGTTGTCATTTTGGTCGAATAAGGTCGAGGTGCTGATCAAAGAAGGCAGAAAATTTGGCCTGATTCCTCTCGATTTTAAATAATGCGGAATGATAGAATCTGCTTCGTGGAAATCATTCTTCGGTCTAAATCCGTTGAAATCAAGCAAGCAAAGTAAACTTCGATCGTCATGGATACAACTGGCGAAAAAAATTGAATGGGAACGGGAATGTTCCCGCGTAAAAAATGCTCCATATTTTTGAGTAAACATTTCTTCACCCAAAATTGGGCCATTAACACGGTTTCCCCTCGCTCCACAAGCAAACACGACGCCCCCACAGCGCCGGCCTTGAGCTAATAACGATTTCGTCAGTTCTCGTCCATCATAGGAATATAAGCGTCTTTACGATTTCGTCCGTTCGCGTCCACCATAGAGGCACAAGTTTCCTTCCGATTTTGTCCGTTCGCGTCCACCATACAAGAACAAGCCTCCCCCTCACACACAAGTTCTTTGTTGCGAACGTTGAGCCCGTGTGTACTCAGGTCTCATGGAGATTAGATATCGAGGCTGAGCTGGTGCTGTGTCAACAGGAGAAACCAGGTTTGCTCTGCACTACAGAAATCCACTTTTATAACCGGGGCAGACGAAAATCTTTTTTTTTTTCAGCGCGTATTTCCTCATTCTTGGAGACGGAGCCCGTTTCCTTCAAGTTTGGGCTCATTTCGCGTATGGTAATATGTTATACATATTATATGATAAGGAAGAGAGTACTCAAGTTCAGAGCCAAGGTGGCTCTTTATCGCGAAACGCAGGGAAAACAAGTGCGACACGACGGGGGAATTATCTACAGCGGAAAATTCCTCCGAAACTCCCTCGGACGAAGCTGCCATCGATAATAATAGAAATGACATGTTACCTGTGACCTGCGTTGTGTTTCGAAACCAGGAAAATCCCCATTTAATAGGCACTGTAATTAATCACGCAAATCGAATCCTTCTCATCCGATTTATAAATTGAGGTTCTTCCAACAAATTCTCCATCTTGAGTTTTCTTAATATTAATAATTGGGCTAGAAAGAGAAAGCCTTCGAGTTTTGAAGCGATTTAAGCTTCTCGCATGACGTGGGGGGTCGATAGGGCGAAATTCGTCCGAATTCGCGGCGCCTCGCATTCCTGTCCCATGAATCCGTCGTCCACCGTTGCTGTTGATCCCCGCGTCTCCCCCCCCCCGCCCCACNTGTCCCATGAATCCGTCGTCCACCGTTGCTGTTGATCCCCGCGTCTCCCCCCCCCCGCCCCACCTCCCCCCCACCCGCCCCACCTCCCCCCCACCCCGCGATAAGGACCCGTGAGACAAAGAGTGACGCATTCCCTTCCCACATTGTGCAATGCGGCCCGGACCCCGAGATAAGCGCCGTGCTTTTCGTTTTCGTTTCGCTGGAACCTTTTTTTTTCTGGATCAGATGACTCATGAGCGTTTCAGCGTTTTCATTCGGCAATATTCCCGCGGTAACACGAAACGACTTGCTGTATTCTGCGGATTCCGCATTCCCAGAATCACCTGCCCGGCGCGCCGATCGAAATATACGATTACTTTGAGATATTTTCACACGTTACAATTTTTCCCCAAGTTCACTCGTGCAATTCTTAACTGATTCCGATGACATCAGCGTCCGATTTCCCTCTGGGGAACGAGAGAACCAAAAAAATGAAGAAATCAGGGAATCTCGTCAGAGGTCATAGATGAAATAAACGCTCTCGCCTCGCCATTGAAACTTCCTGCCCTTCCTGATCGAGCACGAACGAATGAAATACTTTAAATTTCTATCGAAATCCTCGAAAATTCATCCCCGACCCCGAGCACCGCCGTATAAAGTCACGAAGGTCACGATGTAAGGTCACAACGTAAGATAACAATGTAATGTCACAGGGTAATGCGATCCACTCGCAGAGGGAGGACCACGAAGCACGGGATGCCTCCCTCCTCGCCTTACGGGATGCCTCCCTCCCCGCCTTATCGTGCATGGAGGCCGCGTTATCTCCCCGTTCCCCCTGGAGACGCTTATCGGGCAACCCTGCGAGTTCGCACCTCGCCGTTTGCCCGGACAAACTCCCCAAGAGACGATCGGGGTCCATAAAATTTTGCATTCTTCGTCGACCGTGAGAAAGATCGATCGGTTCAGGTGGGAGGGATGTGAGTCAAGTCGTCGAAATGCGAAAGAAATTTTTGCGAGAGAACGCGGCGGGATTGCTTATCGTGTGGGAGATTGCCTATCGCGCTGCTTACATCCGGAATGCCGGATTTCTGTTCCGTCTCCGTTGCCGTTACTCAAGGGGCCGTTACTCAGACTCGAAGAATTCGCGACGACGGGACGGAACGACCGATAAATAATCCAGATTAAGTCGGTCGTCAGATCTTTCCTTGGCTTTCCCTTCCTCTAAACCGTGTAGGATCGTCGGTGCGAACTAGCCTCGATCTTTTGGGACGCGTGAGGACTTGGGACGTGCGAGGACTTGGGACGTGCGAGGACTTGCGGCACGTGAGGTCGGTCGAAGAAACTCTCGTCCGACAACGAGATATGGGGCTTCACGAGTTATGGCTGATTCCCTTCGCAGCAGCTGGCGAATCCGCCCGACACGAAGTCCCGAGGATTATCTGGAAGGGATTACGGATTATCCATGAGATCTCACGCATGCACCGACTGGAGGGAAATGAAGCCAAAATCCGACTTACTTATCTCGTCTTACCTCTCCCGAAAAGTCACAAACGGATCAGGGATTAACCACGATCCAGCCTCAGGGCTGATGGGACGCCGATTGCAAGCTACAAGTAAAAAAAATGAAGAAACTGCAATTACAACATTATCTGCTAAAAACAGCAAGTGTAGTCCTTTGGATAGGTTCACCGATATTTGCTTTAAAAAAAAAAATTATTTGAAATGCCGCCCGGGACTGCACTAAATTTCTCTGTTAGGATTTCTCCGTGATCCGGTTCATTTCCCTGCGGAAAAAAATACTTGGAATTGCCCCAAGGGGAAACTTTCGTCTTGCAGCCAAAAGCACTTGGGTCATGCAGTAGTGTAAAAACCACTTTTCAAAGGCTTTCCCCTTTCTTCAACCCCCCCCCCCCCCTTCCGCCATCTCTTTCCAAGGGACTCACTGGCCCATAGAGGATAACAAGAGGCTCGGCTCCACTCCGCTGGGATCCCATTCATTGAAAGAGTCACAATATAGATGTCGCTGTCGATGTTCCACCTAGTGGGCGCACATCAGCAACTCCTCCTTGGGGGAGCAGCGGACTCAACGAGGCACTCGTGTTACGTTCATGGATCCCTATGGGTCGAATCCCCGGGCGAGTCGATTCCCGATTCCGCTGCCGCGAAGCAAGCCTCGAGGAAGTGTTGTTGATCACATGCCACCAGATGTCTCTGTGATATTTGGACCCACCCCTACCCCTCTAATTGCACTCTCTACTCTATGGTCTAATCCACGGACTGCCTCGAGGTCAGGCCTACCTTGTTTCGTTGATGAGAATCTGGAATCTCAATCCTCGACTTACGGGGTCATTTAAGCGTTAATCCTCGCTCGGCGCTATTCCAAAGCCTGGACTCCCCCAATATTACCCGATTATTTTACAAAAAACGTGCTTTGTATGAGCCGTGGAAGCACCAAATAGTAATTCAATGGTCCAACAGATGACACTAGGAGTCCGTAAGTAAAACGAACGCTTACGAGCGCTCTGGCCGTGAGAGGGTTAAAGGGGTATTCAAGGCGTCTCGCTGAGAATGAGTAACCCTAAACTGGTTATAGGCCTGTTTCGAGTTTCACGAGCCATTCCAGGGAGGACCGGAACGTTAGGCCTATCTGGAGTTCCTCGAACCATCTCGAATAGGTCTGAGGAGATAATACCCTCAGGAAGTATGGAATCCGTGGTACGCGCCATCTTGTTAATTCAGGGATGTCCGGATGAGATATCTGCAGATCCCACCACATCGATCAATAAATGCTAGCCACAGCTTCATTCTCAACTCATCTCATGAACTCAGCATGAAAATATATCATGAAAAAAAAACAGAAGATACAGACGCCAATACGAAGGTTGAAACAGTCTTGAATGTGGCATATTTTCGGCACGGTATCCGACAACACTGGGGGACGGGAGCATACGCAAGTCTAATTGAACGAGTGTTAATTTCATTTTTTATGGCGAAATGGAGCATCACAAATAGCAAAAAAGCCACTTTTACTCATCTACGTGTCAATGTCTCTCTCATTGTTGGTCTATTTCCTCCGAAAACCCCCCAGGCGTGGCTACCCAGGGGGAGGAGAAAAAAAAAGAAAATGAAATTCACATCCTTCAAAAACGAGATTCAGTGTTCTTCACAACCCCGGGGAGAAGGAGCTTCAAATTTGCTGAAACGATTCTGTGGTGAGAAAGGAAGAAGTATGCCAAATTTCGTTCCTCTTTTCGCTCTCAGGGGGATAATACGAGGAGGTTGAATTTTGCGACGGGAAGGGGATGAAGAAAGGTAATAGACGCTACCAAAGCCTATTGATCCATGTACCGTTACTTAAGCAGCAGCAGTGAAGAGGCCGATATAACGATATCCAAGACCTCTGGGGAACGAGACTGGAGCGCACACTCTCGGTCGAAATGAACGACGGTGAATTTGTTTCATCGAGTGAAATGATGCATCGCAAACAAGAAGGAAACTTTTCCTTGTCCGCAAGTCAATATACACGTATTTATAT